GGGGTTCTGTTATTTCATTGGCTGGCGGCATTTTGAGTTAACATATCCCTCTGAGAAGGCGTGACATGTTTATTAATCTTTAGAAGGCGAAAACTTGCACTCGTTTTTTGAGAGAATCCCTCCTCTATAAATGAATTAATAGGGTATGTAGAATCGATGGTTTTCCTTGAAATTTGGCCAGAACATTCACTGATAGATATGGAACAAAAACGTGTTAGCGAATTCTTTAATTTCAAATACTTTTCTAGTGGCGGTCTCTAATGCAACACGTTACGCAAATTTTTCCATAGTGGAACTTGACAGATCTATTAAAAAGATAACCAATAGAAATGAAAGAAAATGCTGACATGCTTTGAGAGATTGATGCTTTGTGATTAACACTGTACAGTTATTTTGCTTTAATGATCGCATTTGATACCCGATTAATTTGCTGCCTTGGGAAAGCAGTGGGCAAAAGAATATAATTTTATCAAATTCTACATTTTATAACCTGTCTATTGATATATACTTTGTGGGGGTTTCCTTCAAGACAGCACGCGTACGAATTTTTTTCTGGAGGACACCCACGAAGGTTTGAAGTAACCTTAACCAGTTGTGTCATACATCAGTGAGTCTGTGAAACAAGTCAAATTACAGACTGACAAACAAAATATCCCAAGATGCTGCATTTGAATGGTTCATAGTGAACTGTTGGAAAAATTGCAATTATAACATTGCTTCTACAGCCGTAGCTTCTTCATGCTACATAAACTGGCATTTGTTATTAAACTCTAGACAGGCTTTCAACTCATCATGTGTAGTGCATTTTTCAAGGAGCAGATGACAATATTTAACCAAATAAATCACTGTCTGGTGGATAGCACAGTATATTTTTTGTCAACTCTTATGCTTTGGATTGCTATTTATCTGGCTTGGGTTGTTCAAAAGGTAGATAACACTATCCACGGGATAAATCTCTATCCAGTGGATAACATGGTTTGTTTTGTTAACACTTCTCCATTGGATAGTGGTTTATCCAGTGAATAACGTTATGGAGCCTTCAAACAACTGGGGCCGGGTGGATAGCATTGTCTACCCATTGAATGATATTGCCATGTACGAGGAAGTTAGATATTGGGAACATTCAGTGTAGATTGAGTTCATGAGTTGTCTATGTATGTGAGACAACATTCAGTCATAGATGGGTATGTGGCTTTTGCTAAATGTTAACAATATGGCTAGAGGTATTAAGGTAGACATCCATATTATGCTTTTATCCGTATTTTCTTGAATGTGTTATATAGCTTCCAGCTCTTCGTCCCAAGAAGCTGATGCACATATCCAAACCACAGAAGACTGTTAGCAGGGCATATGGTGGTTCACGCTGTGCTCGATGTGTGCGAGAAAGGTATGGTAAAACTACTGTCAAATGCAACTTAAAAGGCAAAGTCATATAAATACTGTTTGTCTTCATCATTCATATCATTTTTATTGTATAATGGGATCACATCCTTTAAAGAAAAAAATGGCCATGATTCAGTGCAACCTACTGTAACCAGTACTGTCAAAGGTAGCTAGCTGATGGAAAAAATGACTGTCTATGATCATGGCAGGTTACTCTGCTATCTGAAGCTTTAGAAAAAAGAATGAAAAAGATGACAAAGTCAGCCACCTACTCCAAAACTAAAGCTGTGTTCTTCAAACCTTTTTCAGAACTCTGCTATAACACAAAATTTCTCTAATCTTCTGTTCATGATTTGGTTGTAATTGAGAATTTTATTGGAAAGTCACCCACCATGCTTGTGTTATTACCCAGTTCATGCATTATTTCTGTGTCACTGGACAGTGCAAACAGTTGCATTTGAAAAGGTTCCTTTCCATTCAGTTGCCCTTGAATGGGTTCTCGTATGGACATTGAAAACAAACTCAGCTGCTGCTTTTTTATTATTATTATTA